TCTGCACTGCTTCTGATCTACCCTTTGTGCTGGGTTAGGTAACACCAAAGTGATTTCAGACTGCAGATGTGTCATCAACAGTCAGTGACAGAGACACACAAAACACACATCCTTAACATTGCCATTTCTGAGTTCACTGCTTTGCACAGGCAAATGTATTTTCTTCATGGAAGCTGCTTAAATCTTCTTACTGATTAAATTTAGTTTAACTTTTGACAGAAAATAAGAACTTGATTCATTGTTAAAATTCTCAATGATATTAGAGTCAGAACTCATTGTGATTTTCCCACTTAAAGCAGGGAAAGTAAAAGAGAAATAGTTTCTAACCAGAACAATGCATAGAAAAACTTAAGAGTTATTTCCTCGCTCTGGGTTTAAAACAGAGTTACCAAATTTAAAATACTCCTAAAATAAATAAATAAATAAATAAACAAACAAATAAATAAATAAATAAATAAATAAGATGATGTTTAAAGAGGCTGATTCCATAATCTACCACAACAGTGCCATCCTTCCATTGAATAAGGTGCTCCCATAGAGAGAGCAAGAGCCACTGCTTCGTTCCCCCAATGGTTGCACAGTAGCCTAGGTCCCAGCTGAAATCCAGAGCTAGAAACCTCACCCAGGTCTTCCACTCGAGCTGTCCTCTGCACCTGCAGCAGTGCACATTAGCAGGAAGCTAGACTGAACGCGGACCTGGGCTCCAATTCAGGCACTCTGATGATTTGGGATGCAGGTGTTCCGTGTGGCAACTTACTGGTTGTGGTAGATGCCTGCTTCTCTATCTGATTGAATAACTCTAACTGTGCTTCTCTGGAAAATTTAACATATCTGGCATTGTCCGTGAAAATTTGCTGTGACGCCCTGCAACAACTTTGTGCACAAATTGGATGTCTCAGTTTTGAGTTCTGTAACTTTCTTTGGCTAAGCAGTTTAAAACATGTTTCTAAGAATGGATAGTATCAATAGTCATTTATTTACATAGAAAATACTAAAAAGGAATTAATTATCTTTCTAAAAATTCACTGCTTTTGTGAAAATTGTGGTTGGATAGTCACTCTTGTTTCTGAAAATTATTCTGAATAAGATTGTGTTAATGAAATTGTGTAATTCTATTATGTGATATGCATTTTTTTTCAAGAGCATTAGTAGAAAAATCAGTTTATTTCAAGGTTCTCTTCATATCTGTGTTTCATGGTTATTATAAAGGTGAATGGATTAGAATTCTGACTTTTCCACAAACAAGTGTAAGGTTAAGGCAAACAGAGGTAACCATTTTTCTTGGTGGTGATTAGTATCGGAGTGACCTGTAGCCTTGTGGCTAATTAGATGTGATGAGAAGGTCAGCGATCATGATAAAACAGCCTTAGAGACAGAGACATCACCCATCGCTGTTGCATTGCTGCTGTGCCTTCATGTGATGAGCTGAATGTGGCAGTAATAAAGGTAGCTGAGGGAGAAAACCAGCAGACTCAGCACTGCAGAGCCGAGAGGACTGTAGGTCCCCGTGGAGCGTGCTGCATTAAACGGCCCTCAGATGTGACTACTCCTTGTTTACTTAAAGCCCCCTTAAATAGGCAAAATCTGATTCCATAGTTACAGGTGCTCATGACCAAACATGTTTGAGAAACACTTAAAAGTGATTCTGATACCTTCCCATCTTCCTTCTAGTTCTTCCCACTCTCCCATTGAGAAATTTGGGAACAAGATAGTTATGAAATTGAATTAGGGATATTATAAGTGATTATATAGTGGAATCATGAAAAGGAAAGGGGTCTAAAAGGCTACCATGTTTTTCAGTTTGGGTAACAGGCTTTTGGGTACTGCCATTCTAGATAGTGAAGACTTAAAAGGAAAGAATGACTTCAGTTATACATCTGAAGTGTTTAGGGCATTCAGAAAGTGGTACTAGGAAGCAGTTAGATGTGTGCAATCCAGGAACTCAGAATAATGTCTAAATTATAGCACCAAAGATGTGATCATTGTAGTCCAAACCAGAGCAGAGATAATATTAACTAAGATGTAATCATTGTAGTCAAAACGAGGGCACAGATAATATTAACTAGGCACAAATCCCTAGTGAGTGTGGTGAGCGGGAACTATGGACCTGAGAGAACACTGGTTTCCCCAGGAAATGTTGGAAGAAGTGCTGAGGAGGAAAACTCCTGGGGCACAGAAAGGGGCGTGTCGTTCCATCTAGATCTTCATCAGGGACATTCCCAGACCTTCCTAGGTGCTGGGATTTGGTCGGAATGTAAATTTTACACATTGTGGTATTTTAAAATAATACAATGTTTAAAAAAATTGCTTGTTTCTGTGTATAATATGTAAATTTTAGTGCTAATTGTTAAACTCATGAAACAAAACATTAATATAGTGCTCCAGTATTAGCAGTATACTCTCTTGTGCGTTTCATTTCAATGCAATTTAATCGATATATTGCTGTGGAACCAAATAAAAACCAGTGTCTAAATGTCATCAGTTCTGTTTTGCAGTCATTAATATGCTAACACATGTGTTTGCAGGGCATAAGCAGAATGCATATGATCATTGCTTTCATTGTGTTATTCATCAATCTGTATTTTATTCTCTTCTATTTGTTATTTGTGGTTTTAATCACTTGAGTTGTACTACCAAGTATGTCATTTTTGTTACAATAATTCATTTTGTAAAAATAGGAAACCTAAATAATTTTTCTTAGCCAAGGAAATTTAAAAAAGCTCAGAAGCCTCTAGAAAAAGGAAACCTAAAACTTGTGGATAGTTCTTCTAACCTTACACCTTTCATATAGTCTCTGGACACCAGCATACAATTATGTGTGTGTGTGTGAGTGTGTGTGTGTGTGTGTGTGTGTGTGTGTGTGCGTGTGCGTGTATGTGGGGGAAAGAGAGTGAGTGGGAGAGAAACACAGGATTGATAGAAATACCAGCCTTTTCTGATAAATGGAGAAGTATAATTTTAAATTAACACTATTGCTAGAAGGATCCAATAAAGCAGTTCACATGCATTTTATTCCTTTTGTCTGCTCTTTTCTTTTTTAATTTCAGTTTAAATAGCACCTATAATTAAGGAACAACCCCACACCCTGGGAGCTAGGTAGGACTTTGACTATTGATCTGTGCAAACCCAGCTTATACTGTCAGGGGAGAAACAGTCAGCTGCCGGGCTGCTTTGTCACCGGCATAAGCTGAGAGAGGATATTTTTTTGTCTATACTGTTTATACACTAGTCTATAGACCTGCTGGCTGGTTGAATTTTAAAGAGTGCGGAGGTTTAAAGACTTGTCCCCTGAGGGATGCTTCTGCCAGTTGGGAAGCGAGCTGAGGCTGTTTGGCAGAAGTGTGTGCATGTGTGTTACTAGTGGAAGAGGGAGGGGGAGGGTGTGAAAGATGCAGTAAGTAACTGGGATGCATTCTTCTTAATTTGAGTCTTAAGATTGATGTGAGATATATTACCAATTTGGATATATTTTGAGGCAATTATTGAGTGTTAAAGATACGTTCTTTATTGTTGTCAAGATTATGCTGTCAGTTCTGTAGGAGAATATTTGGATAGTATTTGTAGGTGTAGTGTATATGATGTTTGACTTCATTTTAGGCACCACAAGATAAAGATTAAGCAGTGGTCAAATGGAAATGGTCTTCCTTTATAATGAATACTTTCCAGCCCAAGTTGTTTATTTCAAGTTTAATGACTCCTTTAACTATGCTCATACTTTTAAAGCTGCGTGTTCATAGTAAGCATTTGCCCTAGAGGGTAGAAAATTCTTCATTAATATGGGGCTTTTCCTCCCTACTTCTGTGAGCTCAGGCTTTTAAGCTTTCTTAGGTGTTGGTATTGGAATTTTACAAGGTCTTGTTTTTAATTGATACCTTATTACGTTCTTTATTTTGAAGGTGCAGGAAATTTAATTTTTAAGCACTCAATGTCGTACTTATATGTAAATATTCAGATACTGATTTCTGTGTGTTTGTAGCGATAGAGGAGATTTTTTGGGAGGATGAATACTACATTAAGATATTTACTGTTATTTCTGTATTGTTTAATAGGAAATCTGGTCATAAACCTGTGCTCTTATAAACTCACCTAGTTTTGAATCTGTATAAAACTGAACTCTAAAGTTAACCTTTGAATCAGAGTTTTTATGTTGTTTTCTAGGTTTAGCAAAATATTTAAAAGCAATTTTCCCAGTGGTTAACAGTTGTTTGCATTTTGTTGCAATTGTTTATGCATGTGGTCTCTGACATGCTTCACAATAATTTTAATATGGTTATGGAGTTACTGAAGTTTCAGAATCAATTGGATTCTCTTTTAAGTTGAATTTCATTGTTGACTGTAATATTAGGTAATTCATAAATACAAGAGCGGAGACTAGAGGCTGTGGTTTAATTGAAGGTTTTGTGTACATATTTCTGCAAGAGTGTTATTTAAGATAAGACTTAGTACCAGCTGTTGAAGCATATTTGTAAAAATGTGTTTCTTTAGCTATAGAAAAATCTTTTTTTTTTAAGCATTTGACTATAACACATGCAGTATTTTTATACCTCTCAGTAAATTCATTCTCCTGCCAACTTCATTCCCTTTTCTCTGCCTGCATTTTAATTGAAACAACGTTTATATTTTGGAGCCAGGATCTGTCAGAAGTCCCTTTGGCTAGTCTATAGTACAAGTAGCAGCAGCCGTGGCTTACCCATATGGTGTGGTGCTTCTTGTAAAATCCATATGGCCTTGTTGAAGGGAACCCAGCGGCGATGTGAAGGGTGTTAATACCCTTCAGGCCAGGCCGCTCCCTCCTGGGGCTCCTGCGGCATTGTCATTGCAATCTGCCAAAGCCCAAACGTAATTCCTTTTTAATAATCAATTATTTTAGTCTAGGAACCTGTGCTATTTTTCACAAGAAAAAGAAAAAAACTTTTTCCCTCCTAGACACTGTCTTTAAAAAGTTTTAACTACATCTTTTAAAAATATTCTAAAGCTTTTCTTTTCATTTGCATTTATAGGAAGTACTACAGACCGTGCCAAAGTTCTGTTTCCCTTTTGACGTTGAAAGGTATAGTATAAGTCATTATTTAAAATAAGCTCCGCTTGTTGCAGTGCACATCATAAAATGATTTTATGTGCTTATAAAAATGAAATGTATGTACTCTTCATTGCTTATAAAAAAGGGCTACAGATTCAAAATTAAATAATATTTGCAAGGAAGAAACCTTTTAAAATCATTATCTTTTGTTTTATCTATGGTGGCCACTTAGGAAAAGTCTGAAAGGGTATTGCAAATAAGCTGTATCTCTTTTGCTTTATGCTTCAATTACATATAGGAAGCACAAGGAAAAAAAATATGAGTATATCCTTGATGTGCTTGGAATCATGTCCTTTGAAATTAGATGTATATATCCTGGTTTCTGTCTCACTTCACCCTAATTGAAAAGACCATCTGTATGATGCAGTAAAACTCATGGCTTGGTGTCTTCCAAGAATAGCTTTATAGAAATAGTGCAATATTGTGGAAGGATAGTGGGAAATCCTCCTAGCAGTTTGATAATCTCATTATGCTTATGTTTTACTGAAAAAAAATACTGAATGAACTACTTGTGTGTAGCTGGAATTTAATAGAATTTGTAGCCCGTTGAGCATAATAACAAATCATTTATTGTTTTTCATGTAATTTTCACACCCTATTATCAGTTTTCTTAAGAGTGTGCCATGAGGAGTTTTTAAAAGAAATTTTATTTTAGAAAAATATTTTGTTAAAGATTAGTGAGATTCTCATACTTTCGTATTACTATATTAAAAACAAAAACTTGCCCCTGATGGGCAGTGGATCTTGGTAGGCACTGCTGGTGAACGTGACCTTCCTGGTTTTACTCCTTCAGAATTAGCTGTGTTCCCTCCCACCCTCTGCCATGCTGCAATTTCGCAGTTGATTGTAACAGTCAAATAAAGAAAGATAAAGATAAAAATACACAATTATTAGCCTTGTACAGTGGAGGGCATATAAATTGTTGCTTTTTTTCTTTGAAGTTTCATGAAGTTTTTAAATAATTATGCTTAAAGAGTATTTGTTAAATATTCCTCATTTGAGATGCAAGACTTCCTAGCTGAACAGTTTGTAGTTTTGGTACACTGTAATTTCTTTTTTTCTTCAGTAATCAAAGCTTTAGTATTTTAGATATCTTGTTTTGGTTGTCTAATGCCAAGATGATAACCAGGAAATGTGTGCATATATTTTAAAATATAAATATTTAGTCTGATGTTTTGTCTTGCCTCTTACACCTCAGTGTGACACATTGGAGCGTTAAAGATGAGCTAGAATTCTTCAAAACTTATCAGTGAGCCACATATATTGAATACTTTGCATTTGGAAATCTGTTCCTTGATATGTTGATAGCCCTCATAGGGAATGCTGAGAAACCAAGAGTATTTTGTGTGGTACTTTATTGGGTGAGAATGACAACAGAAGAATCCATTAAACAAAATTGGTGAGGACCGCCATTGGAATCTAGATCAACATGATTTGCTCTCTAAGCAGTTTTAGTGTCATTGAGGCTAGGATCCAGTCACCATGTACAGTTTATTATTTCTGTAGTTTCATTCATGGTATTTTGATAGTCTGTAATATTTTATGACTACTTTCAGTCTAGGAAAACTTGTGGTAAACTGGGTCATGACTTCCTGGTAAGGAATTAGATCCTGAATTGCATAGTGTGTAAGACACTACAATTTACTATGAAACTCATGATTTAGCTTTAGATTTCAGACTTTTGTAGTTTTAGAACATAGTTGTAACTTCAACTAATTTGAAAGATGAAATCAGTGCTGTATACATTCTTGGTTTTGTTTTTCTGTAAGATCATCATGCAAGGCTTTATGTGTTTAATGGTGCTGCATTTCAGGGTGTCTCAGAATCAAGTTGGACAGCACTTTACCTTTGTACTGACGGACATTGAGAGTAAGCAGAGGTTTGGATTCTGCAGGCTCACGTCAGGAGGCAGAATCTGCCTGTGCATCCTTAGGTGAGTATTTGTTGAACAAAACCAAAATTGGATGCAGAGTGTATTGGCTCTGTCTCTTTTATTTTTATACATGGGATTCAAGGAAAAAAAACTTTCCTCATAATTTACTGTTTGCTCGTTTTCTCTAAATCAAAATAAATTAATAAAGAGCTTTCCTTCCTTTCTCTGTACAGAATCAGTTGGACTTAAAGATTTGCCAGGAACATATTGTAAATTTTTTTTGAAGGAGCTGATTCTTTTAAAGATTAATTTTATAGTTATATTTTTGAACATTAAGTATTAGTGTATGAGTTCAAGTAACATGAATTTTACACATTAGATTGGATGCACAAAATTCAATTAAAATACACTATATCCTTTTCTATTATTGAACCAGAGCTTGAATTTTCCAAAATGAATTCCTTCTTTGAGGCCAAGATTACAGACTGTGATTCTAGGCAATTAAGTGTTTAGAGATCTTTAGCTTAATAGGTGTTTTTAAAAGTCTAAAACATGTTGGTAACCTTATAAAGTTAAGGAAGTTTTATTTAATATTTATATTTCTAATTCTTTTGAGAAATGGAATGCCTGCTAATGGATTCCTGCCTTCTTGAGTAGCTGCAGCCAAGCTAGAACGGCGAAGCAGGCTTTTAACTCTGCAGTGAGCTGGTGAGGCTCCACAGGGCCTGCCTGCCTACCTCCATGGTTGACATGTACCTGGGTGAGCAGCTGGCTGAGAGCGGTTCCTGCCTTCAGACATCACTTCCCAGGGCCTGGCTGTGCAGGGGAAAAGACTATAGTTATTAATACCCCTGCAAGAAGTCTTGAAATCAAACATCCAAATGTATTCCATGAAAATACTATAAACAAGTAGTATGGGACACTGGGCAGCTTAGATTCTGTGGAAATTGCTTATAGGAGAAGAAATGCCATTCACTCTATGAATTTATATATTTCAAAGAAAACTTTTGATATACAGTTGATATTTTCTCTGTTGCTTTTTTATGCTTTTATTACTCATTCAAGATTTACGTTTATTCAGAACATTTGTTAGATCTGGAAAATTTGTTTCAGTCTTTGTTCAAAAGTGAATGCTTCTGTGCTTTGCAGTGATACTGTGCTAACTTACCTTGTTTCTTTCCTGAGATATAAATCTTTCATCTCAGATACACTTGTATGTGAAATATATTTTATCCAAAACTAATTTTGCCATAAGCTTGTGCATTGGTTTTTCTAATGTGGAGCAGGTTGATAGGTCAGTAGGCTTAGGGCTCCCAACATGCGGAGTGTTCTTACTGCTATTCTTAGGCTCACATTCTAAAAGCTGTGGCTGAGATGGGCGTGTCACTTGAGGTCCTCTATGCGATGATTTGCCCTAATAGGAAACCAAACCTGCATATGTGTTGTTATTTTTACCTATAAATTTTGTAAAATTTTCACTAAAAGCAACTCATACTTTTAGGAAAGTTTTTTTTTTATATATATATAAGATTTATTTTATTGGAAAGGCGGGTATACAGAGAGGAGGAGAGACAGAGAGGAAGATCTTCCATCCGAAGATTCACTCCCCAAGTGGCCGCAACGACTGGAGCTGAGCCAATCCAAAGCCAGGAGCCTCTTCTGGGTCTCCCACGCAGGTGCAGGGTCCCAAGGCTTTGTGCTGTCCTCGACTGCTTTCCCAGGCCACAGGCAGGGAGCTGGTCAGGAAGCGGGGCTGCTGGGATTAGAACCGGTGCCCATATGGGATCCCGGGCGTGCAAGGTGAGGACCTTAACCACTATGCCATCGCGCCGGGCCCAGGAAAGTTTTTGTATAAGGTTCACCTCGATTGATTTCTCAGTTGTTACCAGGCATCTCTGCTCCCACTCTCCCTTTCTCACACCCACCCACACTTGAATAAACCTTTCTCTCTTGTTTTTGTTGGCACATTTGAGACTATAGTCAGTTTTCATAATATGTGAATCTTAATTTAATAATATGCCTCTGAACTGATTTTCCAATGTTATGTAATATTAGGCTCGAGTTTTTCTCTTTGTTTTGAGCTCTTAAAATATTTTGAATACATTGAACCTATTAATAACTAGTAAATATTTGTCGAAATGTCTAGAATAGTGTCTGAATTTGCATGTAGAATAAAAGTTAAGAATTTCTGTTTAAATTTAAGAAAACATAGTTTTTATCAAAATAGTACTATAAATTATCACCTCAAACATTCATTAAGTGGCTGAAAGATTAATATAGAATCCTTAAATGCAGTTCACATGTTATTAATGTGTACGAAACTGACCCTGAAGCAATTAAGTAGCCAAGTTGTTCTTCTATCTGGTTGTCAAACCTGTACGTGTGTTGTAGTAACACCTGGATGTACTGGAGTCTTTTTTTGTTTTGTTTTTTTGAAGATTACTTAATGGGGCTGATTGCCATGGCCTAAAAAGTTAAGCTTTTGACTTCAAGTTCTGGCATCTCATGGGTGCTGGTTTGAGTCCCAGCTGCTCCACTTCTCATCCAGCTTCCAGCTTATGACCTGGAAAAACAGTGGAGGATGGCTCAAATACTTGGGACACTGCACCTGTGTGTGAAACCCGGAAGAAGCTCTTGATTATTGGATCCTGGATCTTGGCTTCAAGTCAGCTGAGCTCAAGTAGTGCAGCCATTTGGGAATGAACCCAGCAGATAGAGGATCTTTCTCTATTTCTCCTTATCCCTGAAAATCTTCCTTTGAAGTAAAAATAAATGAATCTTCTTTTTATATAAAAAGATTTACTTGCTGATTTGAAAGGCAGATTGACACAGGGAGAGGAGGAGGGGATGGGTTGGGAAAAGGAAAGTGCAGAGGGAATAGGAGAAGCTAGAAAATATTTATGTTGTAAAACTGTAGTGACATTCCAATTGCTGTTAGCATAGATTGTGTGCTTTGAGAACAGCTAATTTAGAGCATGGGTTTTGAACAAACAGAATTCAGATGTTATAGAATTCTATTCAGAAGGTTCTGGTGGGTAAGTAAATACTTGTTAGAACTGTAACCAGTGTTTGAGGGATCTTTGTGAATGCTTCAGTTAGAGGAGTGAAAGGAATAGTGATGCTTTGGGTCCTGAATTGTCCACTCAGTTTGATGACCTTTCATCACTTTCTATTTAGTTATTTTTATTGAAAAATTTTTTATTGCAAAGTGAGATACACAGAGAGAAGGAGAGACAGAGAGGAAGATCTTCCATCTGATAATTCACTCCCCAAGTGACTGCTGCGGCCGGAGCTGCACAGATTTGAAGCCAGAAGCCAGGATCCTCTTCTGGGTTTCCCACGTGGGTGCGGGGTCCCAAGGCTTTGAACTGTCCTTGGCTCATTTCCCAGACCACAAGTAGGGAGCTGGATGGAAAGCAGGGCTACTGGGTTTAGAACCGGTATCCATATGAGATCCTGGTGCCTGTAAGGCAAGGACTTTAGCCACCAGGCTACCATGTTGGGTCTACTTTGTTTATTTTTGCAATTATTGAGAGGAATGGTGCCATTCTAAATGTGTTAGAAAATCCTAGAGGGAGTAGAACTCTACATGTTTTGGCTAATGGTTAAGGTGCCCACATCCCATGTTAGAGTTACTGAACCATATTCCCCAGCTTTGCCTCCTGTTTGTAGGCTCCCTGCCAGGGCTGACTCTGAGGTCATGGTGATGGCTCAGGTGATCTGCGTCCTGCCAGGGCTGACTCTGAGGTCATGGTGATGGCTCAGGTGATCTGTGTCCTGCCAGCAGTTTTGGGAGACCTGGCTTGAGTTCCTAGCTTCTGTTTGTTATCTCAGCATATCCCCGGCTATTATGAGCACTGAGGGGATGAACCACTGGGTGGGGATCTTCTCTGTCTCTCAAATAAGTTTTAAATATTAAAAATGTATATTGTTGACTTTTGAGCAAATGACTATAAGCAGGGAGAGCTTTTATGTATCTAATAATGCATCTTGAACCTGAATGATTGGTGTATTTGAGCATAAACTAATGAAAATTTCTGTTTGGTGACAAATATGTAAAGAAAATTTAGAAGAAAATAAGCTGTCAGGAATATATTTATGGGCACTGTAACAGTGGGTTAATATCCAAATATATAATAATCACTACAAGTTCATTTAAAAAGCTATAGAAAAAATAAGCTTAGCATCTGAGTAACCTACTCATAGAGGAGCTGTGAAAGAGAACAAAGTCTCCTATGTACTGATTTTCAAATTGCCTCAGATGATCATGGCTGGATTAGGCTGAAGCCGGGAAATCAGAACTCTGTCCAGGTATCCCATGTGAGTGGTAGGGGACCACGTGCTCACACGTCATTACCGCCTTCCCAGCACACCAACAGGGGCTAGACTGGTACTAGAGCAGCCAGCTCTTGAACTGGCACTCAGATGGGACACTGGTAGCAAGGTGGTGCCCAGTCTGCCTTGCCGCAGTGCTGGTCCTGTACTTCTTGCCTTTATTCATTTTTTTCCCAACCAACAAAATCCCTGTCAATTAGTTTTTTTTTATTTTCTAAAATTTTGAGTTGTTGTCATTATAAAGCACAAAAGTATTAACATGAAACTATAAATATAATATTACGTTGGTGGGGATTTGCCAGATCATTTTTTTGTCAGTTAGAATGTGCTTAAGGGTGCTTCAACAAGTTCATGGAAAAATGGAATTAAGAGTTAAGTTTAGTTTTGTCACAATATTTTTTTAAATCCATACATTGTTATTTTTAAAACATGCTTTTTCTGTGAACCTTTTGATTCATGTTGAAGTTTGTAAAATGCACAATTCTCTTGATAGAGTGTTTTAGCTTAGGCAGTGCAGGACTCTGAGTGGATCCATAGCTAGCATAGGTGGGAGGACAGGGTTTATTGGTCCCTTCACATTTGGGACTGCAGAGTGAGAGAATGACCTTTGGGGTAAAAGGACATATCCTTAGTGGGGTGACTGACAGTCTTGGACCAAGGAATTAGTGTTTTCTGATAATTTCAGCACAAAACGTTCGTTGTTGTGGAAATTCTTTGTGAAATGG